TTTTGACCATAAGAATTGCCCAAGTATTGGAACAGAACTGTTAGACCTTTAGGCTGTTGGAGCGGTTGGTGTCTTCGAGCTACCTCAGCTGTTTCTCCAGCTTTGTGCGGTTAATGAACTTCAGTCGGTTTCCGTGAACTGTTTCAGGATACTTAAGTATTTTAAATAAAGGAAAGCGCTCTGGCGGTTGTATGCTGAACCAAACCAAGCTCGAAATTACCTCTTGTTGCTGAGAAAGGGAAAGACTTGGTGAAAGCTGGACAGGTCAGAGAATTCCCTTAGAAAAACAAAAACACTTATAAAAGAGTTTTCTAATCCATATACAGAGAACAGTTGCCTTTCACCCGATATGAGGATGCATGTAACACTTTTTTTTCATCACGTAGCTATAACAACATCCATGTTTTAGTCTGCTGTATTTTTACTGCTACAGTGACCACAGGAGATACATATTAACTTTTGTGAGCATATTATTTACCTTATGAAGCACATGCTAGTAATCGTTGAAATCGTCAGAGTATACTGTTTATTTTAGTTGCTAAATAAAACAATATTTTTCTTTTGCAGAAATGCAGGAAAAGTGAATTTATGAAATAAAAATCTTTGGATCTTTCCAAGGAAGCAGAACTGAGTCTTTTTTGAAGGAACCAAGTTCTACATAAAATTTTGATGATAGTGGCACGTGAAGAGGCTTTCAGCACATGGAATATAGTAATTTAAAAGTTTCAACCTTTAATGAGTCTGCAACTGTGATCTTATGGTTACTGCGAAGTTTGGAAATAATGGTATCAAGGTGTTTGCTCGTTCCTGGCAATGCTTTTAATGATGTAGTTTACAGAGTAATTAAGTTTATTACTGTGTTGGCCACAATGCTGTTAGATACAGTTTTAATATRCAATTTTGTTCTTGTCTTGGTGAATGCTTAGCAGTTTGAGCCCAGTGCTTGGCTAGAAAGCTAGAAAACAAAGGGGAATATCCACCAATTGTAGATGCTGCTGCTTATATTGGTCATTTTAATGTTTTTTTTTTCATGTAGATCAGGAAATTGTTGTGTTCAAAAACACAGCCGCTTTTCTTTAAAAGAAAAGAGCAAAACTTTTGTGGTAAGTAAATGCTGTGCATTGGATGTTTACCACCCTGTGTGTTTAGATTAAGAATGTGCTTGGGAGAGACTTAACAGTTATGAAAATGTCTGCAATTTTGAAGAATGTGGTCATGAAGGATAGTGGAAAGTGCAAAATGTTACTTGCTCCAAACTTGAGTTGAGGCAGACGTATTGAACTGGAGGGAGTCCTGCCTAATAATGGGTGTGAAGTATTTACACTGTTGGATGTAAGATGACGTAGCTCATGATGACATGTATTTGAGAAAATTACTATTTTTGTAAGTATACTTTAAAGGATATTTCTACCAATAATGTATGTTATTTTTATATTTAACATTTTTAAAAATACAAAGTTCGTTAATCCTCAGAGCATTCCAGTGCAGTGGCAAAATTGGGAATAGGAATTGAGACTGTGTGTTGCCTCTTTAGGCTGGAAGAGTCAAACTCAGGATCCAGGATTCCCTGGCTTTTGAGTTCCAGCAGCTGTAACAGGAACACTTCACACCAAGGTCTGGCCTGCAGGAGATTTCCTGACCTGTTGCCTGAATCTTGTAGAAACTAGTTGGCCTCTCCCAAAGGACAAGATGGGGAGGAAAATCTTGCACTTCTGAATAAGCAAGTTTTTACATCTGCTGTTGCAGGCTGTCCCGTAGTGATGATCATGACCTGCATGTAGTGCCACTTAAAGCTCGTGGCCAGTACCTTTATAGGAGYGACATCGTTGAGAGGCAGAAGAATCCAAGTAGGGTTTATTTCAGGAATGTTGTTTCACTTACCCAATCTGAGCTCAGCTGAAAGGTCTGTTGTTCAGGTGAATTTTGAGCCTGGGGGAAATGGTGATAATGTTAAGCTTCAGAATTTGGGAATATTCCAACTATTATAAAATATAATGAAATATATCTGTTTTTTGTTGTTGTTTATTTGTTTGTTTTCTTCAGAACAACTGTCCTCTGTGTCTTTGTAGTCTACTTCTGCAGAAATTGATTTTTCCTTCAGTTTGTAAAGTACAAATGTACTGTGACTGCTGTCAAAACTAAATAAATACAAGGGGGAACTTGTGTTTGAACTCACTTTTCTGAATTTTTGCTTGGACACTAATCTAGACCTTTCTTTCCCTCGTATGCATGATGTAATGCACTATAGATACTCTACAAGACATTGCATAGAGAAACAGGGGATGCTGAAGGTATGCCTGAAASTCTGCATTTTGAATGACAGAATACAGTACAAGTGACAAGTTACAGGGAAGTTCCACCTGAAAATTTCTGAGGAGTGAAAAATGCACTGCAAAGCGAATCTGCAGTGTTATTTTAAAATGCTTATCTGCTGTTACACAAGCTTGTGTTCCTGTCATATAACTATTGGTTTGGTGCAGTTGGCACTTGGCAGATAATGCAGCAGTGCCAGCTGAAGCTGAGGAGCATGGTCAACCTGCCTGCTAGTAATTTGCACATGTGAACATAGCTTTATTTGTTAAGAAAATAATATAAATGATGAATTTGGTGGGGGAAAGAGGAGAGAAAAGGAGTTCTATCTTGTCTATGTTTTGCATGCAAAGTATATATCTATTTCTTTACGTGCAAACAGGGAAACGAAACAGCTAGGAGCTTTAACTGTTGTCTTTCTACAGATAAGCAGTGAGAGTCCCTGCCTCTTGGGCTTTCAAAGCCACACAGCTGTTCTGCAGGAGCTCTTGGATGTGGGGGTGCTGCAGCAGCTTTGGAAAGAAGCTGCAGATGTGTGTCCCTGCTTTTTGTGTGCACTTCCAGCTGGACGGTTTTCATGCGAGTTGGGCTCCCTGCCACATCTTGTCTGTAGTGCAAGCCCCCCTCTTTGAATTGCACAARTATGTCCCTCAGCCAGCCAGCCTGCAGGTTGTTGTGGCCCAATGACTCTGTAGCCTCTCTAAACTTTGTCCATTCACTTTCTGTATGAAGTGCTTCCAGAAATCGTTTTCACACATGACTCCCTTTATTGTGAGCAATTAAGCAGATAAAGGGTAAGCTAGAAGGAAATGTTCGATATATATCCATTTGGAGACCATCTTTTGATGGTCAGTTAAATATCCTCTGCCCTCTTTGGACAAGAGGGTGCCCACAGTCCCTCCCTCCTTTTTATTCTTTGCCATTCTTTCTGCCACTCGTTTCCTGGAGGAGCTCCTTCCTGGATCTGTCCCCTCAGTGTTGGGTGCTGTGTGGGTCAAGGTAGTGTTTCTGGGGCGGTGCGTCTCATATCACAGCATGTGGGTCAGGYGAGATGTTCCTGAAAGCTGCAGAACTCTTTCATGGGAGCTGTTCTTGCACAGAGGAAGGGCATTCTCTTTTTAACAAGTAAGTATTTATTTAATTTTAATGTGGCATCGTGTCAACGGTGATGACTTTGATATAGCTGCGTTCTGAGGCCTAAATGGTTGCATTTCCTGGCCTCATCTGTGTAGAGCAAGACTGGCACAATTTCTCACTTTAAGGGTGGAGGTATTTTAAAAGCAGTGTGGAAGTTAATACCTGGGTGCCATTTGAATAGGAAAAAATAAAACTGAATAGAAAATATTGTGGGCT